TCTTGGGCAGATTTTTTTTTTTTTCCTGATTTTCTCTGTCTTCTGTCCCTTTTCCATTCTCTAACACCTAGTTTTTGCCTCCCTCACCTTTGGGTAACCAAGGACTGTTCGTTTTTCCCCATTATTTCTGTTTCCCTTTGGGGAAAAACCTCTCCGCCTCCTTGCATTTTGTTGCTACATATCCATCATTTCTTGTACTGGTTTTCCTGTCAGTTCCCTCTCCCACTGAATTCTTGAAAAAAGTTCCTCATGCCTGAGTAGTTCCCCCTTTTGTATTTGGTTTTTTCCAGCCTATTCCCCCCTACTCTCTCCATTTGGAGCTAAAATTGTAGTCGAAGCACAAAACCCACATGATCCTACCCCGGGGGCCCTTTCATACATGATACCCCCGATTTCCGAACTACTCATGGTGTTTACAAGGTCCAACCTTGCGGTTCATCCTCCCCTCCTCTCTGGTATGTCTCAACTGTTATGCATGATTTTCTCCAGTACTGTTGTGTGTGTGTGTGTGGTGTTGTGTGGTTTTTGGGTGTGTGGTGTTGTTGTGTGTGTGTACAGCCCCTCAAGCACTGCCAAAGACTACTTTTTTTAAATATTTTTGTGTTTAAGTCCTAAAATCAAAAAAATTAACATGTAATACATGTATACTATTAACTTTTCAACATGAAAATATTTTAGTATACTTGATAGATAGTATTATATAGTAATATAAAAAATTTTAAAGACAAGACTCGTAGAAATTTTGGATAACCTATCCCTATATTTTTATATGGAATGGATATACTAAAAAGACCTCTCTCAACTAAATGTTTTATAAGGTTTAAAGACTGTTGCAGCGAGTCCTAACCGTTTGGGGGTAAAACCCTTTTGGTAAGTTAATTTTTTAAACCCGTTTTCTACACAAGTGGCCATTAAGGTGCGCACCCCCCTACACGCCCTGTCAGTTTAATCTAAAAAATTTGAGGGAGTTACACACACCTTCTTGAAAAATCCCCAAAGCAGCAAAGGCCCCCTTTTTGTACTCGTAGTAGCACATATAGTATAGTAGAAAAAGAAAGAGCAATGTGGTATAGTAAATAGAACAGTAGTACTATATTTTCCAGGGGAGATTTTAAAGTTAAACATCACCCAAAAAAGGGTGTGGTTTCCAGTCCTGGAAACCACACCCTTTGTTTGGGTGATGTTTTTTAGTTTTCTTTACAAGCGATGCAGAAGAGTAAACACGAAGGAAAAAGCATAATTGACAACTTTTCACGGGGGGGGGGAAGTTGCCGTAATTAATTTTCCCAAAAGTTAGAAAATCAAACAGAATGCGTTTAAAATTTGTTCAGCTGGAAACCGGTTAAAAACTTCATTAGTGATCAACTCTAGCATCGTTTACGTTTAAATTAAGTCGTTAAAATTTTTCAAAAATAAAACGAAAACTGGATTAATCGGTTTCCGTTTAGTCTCTGTTAAATTAAACTTCAGATTTAGTTTAAAAGACAAGCAAGTTGTTCCTTGATTCGCTCTCAAAAACATTGAAAATTTTTTCAAAGGGAAAAGTACCGTTTCCTATGTACACTATTATTCTTCCCATCAAGATAAAGTTTTAAAAAGTCTGTTTTTCAAAATTTTTTTAGAGCTTTACGTATTTTTTGTCCAAGGTTTATAGATGAAAAAAATATCCAAAATTTATGAAAAAGCCATTGATCTAAATCCCAAAAATGTAATGAGAAACATTTAAAAATTTCTATAATCTTTTTGCAACCCAAAAAAGGGGCAACCAACCTTATTCAACTAAAAAAAGTTTGGGTTTCCCCCTTTCCAGAAAAATTGGCTAAAACCTTCTCTTCTTAAAACTTTAATATTAAAGTTTGTATTTTAAAAAACTTGATACATAAAAAAAAATTTTTATAAAGAATTCCCCCCCCAAAAAGCTGACGGATGTGTCTATAAATCCCTTTTAAAATTTGCATAAAGTTTTTAGGGCAAACTGGTAAAAGTCCGACTTGATTAAAAAAACATAAATATAGATTAGAACTGGAGAAAATTCCAATGCTTATTTTTTTCATGGAGAGACTTTAAAACCCTCCAATTGATTTTTAAAAAGTTGAGAAAGTTTTATCAAGCAATCCATGGTCGAAGGGTATAATTGAAAACTTTTTTCAAAAAAGCATTTTGAAATAAAATAAATTTTTCCTTTGGTTTAAAATATTACATTTATAATTAAAAAAATTTTGGTTAGTTTAATAAACATTGGGCAAATAATAAACCTTATTTCTTGGGTAGAGTGATTTGTTTTGGGGGTTGTCGTGAGGACCTGTCTAAATTGGACCAGCGGACCTACTGCAGTGTTCCCTTTTTATAGTCCGGGATTGTCCCCGTCAGGTGTTTCTTTTTTTGGGATTGACTGTGAGGTGGATCTAAGCCCTTTAATTTCCTTCCTTTTATGTTTACTTTTTATAGTTCCTTTACAAGTGGTATCCCCAAAGCGCTTTGGGAATTTTACTACTCTTTCACAGTGTTGTTTTGCATATATATATTATATATAATATAATATATATATAATTATATATTAAAAATTTTATATAATATATAATATAATAATATGATAAAAATTTCACTAAGTTATTAATTGTTGGGGTTTTTTAGTTCTCTTTTTTTTTAAGAGCGACATTTACTTCACTAGGCCCTCCAATTTAAAGTTAAAACTTTTATTAAGATTTTTTTCTTTTCGTGTGTCACAAGAGTGAGATTAATTTTTCCTTTAGCTAATTAAATTTTCCCTTTTTTTTAAAGCTTAGAATTTTGAGGGTTTAATTTTTTTTCCCTCTCTCTCCTTTCTTCTCTCCACTCTTTTCTCACTCTGTCTCAGTCACACTTAATAAATATTTTTAGACAGATCCAGGTCTGCTGCTTTTTATAAAGCCCAAGACATCAATAAACATTATCAGTAGGTTGTAGGGGCCGAGACGCTGGTGAGGGGGCGACTGTTGTGGCCTCTGCCCGGTCACGCCTCGGTCACTCCTCGGTACGCCCGGTCACGCCTCGGTCATCCCCTACCAAATTTGATGAGTTGTTGGCGCCATACGATTAAATTTTTCAACGTAATTTTTTTAATGGGGCAAAAAAGATTTTTTTGAAGGGGGGTTTTGTGCGCTTCGTATTCACGTTCCGGGTTGTACAGTATTTGCTAAAAAATTAAGTCTAATCTTTGGATGGAAAATTTAGGATATTTTTTAATTTAATTGGGGGTGTAAACCCCTAGCGCCTGGGTGAATGAAAATAATAGGTTTGACCCATGACTAGAAAGGTAGCTTCAGTTCCATGAATCAAGAGCCCTGCACCAGCATATGGGGAGCCTTGGGCCCCCATGAAGAATTTGGACAGAGAATATTGCACATTACACAGACAGACGACACCGCACGCACCACACACTATACAACAACATATGCCCCCACACACACACACACACACCCCACCACACACCCACACACACACACACAACACACAATGCACACCACACCACACACACACACAACACCACCCACCACACACACACACACACCCACACACACACCACACACACACACACACACACCAACACCCACACACACACACACACACACACACCATCACACACACACACACACGCACACACACATCAACCCAAAAATTCCTCGAGTATATGGGGGCCTGGCAAACCTAAGAATAGCGTTTCCCATAACTCAGTAAGGAACGCTCAAGACTCTGTTACCGTGTACGTCAGGACCCTTTGGAACCCACCCCCTTTTCAAGCACTTCAAAAAAAATAGAAATTGCAAAGGTTTGAAAAAGCTAGTCCCGAGCCAAATCCCTGAGAAAAGTGTGAAAGACCTGGGGGGCTAAAGATTCCATCCCCATGTGGGTTTTTTTGTATTTTTGAGGTTGCCCCTTTGCAGTGGTACTGCTGCCCCACGAATTCGCAAAGACACGATTTAAAAAAAAACCATACCACGGGGGGGGATTGAACCGGGGAGTCTAAAACTCCAGGGCCCGCGGTAACCCCTGGGGCCCCTGGCTACAATAAGATTTATTTAAAAAGTATATTTTTGCACCACAAAGGTGGGTTAAGTGGGGTCTGTGTAATTTCTTGATGTAAAAAATACCTAGTTGTATGACTCTTACTGTAGCCAGCTGGCCCAATGCCTCACACGCGGGCCTGGATTCTAACGACTCACCCGCCATGAGTTCAATCCCCGCCCGTCGTATGGTTTATGGTACTACATGGTTTGCTGTGTTTCACTGTCGTGTATCTGTTCTGTTTCACTGTTGTTTCCCATTGCTTGTCTTTCCTTTAATTAATGCCACTTTTTACTTTGAAACGACTATCATTTTCCATTTATTCATATTCTTGACATTTAATATTGGTGTGTTTATTTTTAAGTGGAACTTTGGGCACCTTCAGTTATGGCATTTTCTAATCTTCAATGGTTTCCATATCCCACTGAAAATACTTTTTAAGGAAATTACGAAGAACACTGTCCCTTATGTAGCATATATGAACACATATTGAGAATGATGATGTAATCATCACTCGTGATAAAATTTCCCAGGTAGAGTTCGTGCATAATTAATATTTTTCATTACTCTTCTGCATCACTTTTTTTGTTATAGAATTTCTATGAGTTTCTTCAAATTCTGCTTTTTTATTCTCTACTGTTCTCCCGTTTCGTCTTCTGTTTATGCATCACAATTTTGTTATATTTTGATTAATGTATGAATATTAATGTGAACGAACTACAGAGTAGATTTAAAAATGGGTTAGGTAAATACATGAGTGGGTGTGGGTGGGTGTGAGTCGAACCTGACTAGTTTGTGCTAGTAGATCTGATGCCGTGCTCCTTCCTTAAGTGAATGTCACCTGACCTGGCTTGGTTAGGGCATTGGCATAAGCTAGTAGGAGACTTGGACCTGCCTCGCATTGGCCAGTAGGCCTGCTGCAGTGTTCCTTCTTTCATATTTTCTTATGTTCCCAGGTGCCCGTGTGTAGTGACGATGCTCTGGCTCGGGCGGTGGTGTGTGACGTGGTGAGAAGCCTCGATCTGGTCCCCGTCGACAGAGGTCCACTCAGGAACGCGAGGCTACTTGAAGGAATACCATTGACTTTCTTTCCTGAATGGAAGTTTGCTCTCATAATTTCCCTCATCATTTGGATCATCGCATTTGCCATTACGTTTTTTAAGTAAGTCCCGACATTCCCCAAATTTTTAACCCATCCCCGGCCCGGGACTAAACCCCGGGTCAGGAGTTCAAAACTCCCCCCGTCGCGTTCCCACTAGACAGCTAGCCAAATAAGTTTCATCAAACTAGGTATTTTCTTCACCATGGAAGGTAGCACAGGCACTTTGACCACAAAGAAGTTTTTTCAGCGAATCTCCAGCTAGGTGGCCGTGACGAATCTACTCAAAATCCCTTTACTGCCCTCAACATGATCCGACCGCGGGTTCAATCCGGCCCGGGTATGGTTTGGTTTCAATGTGTTATTAGTTTCGGAGCTTTCGTGAGTCTTTTAAGTTAGGTACACATAAGTCACGTGCCTGTTGTGCTCCCGGTTTTTGGGGGTTTTCAGGTCGCTCTTACGGCTAGAACTTTTTTTTGTGTCTCAATCCTTACGATACATCCCTCTGCGCTGGAAACCAAACTTGGGCGGAAAAATTCTATATGAGTCAAAAAAAAAGGGAAATTTGTGTGCATTACCAAGGAGTTTACTCTGGGGGAATCATAGGCCTGTTTTCGTGTGAAAAAAATAATAATATTGAACTTTGTGTCGAAAAGAAATTCCCTGATACATTGAGTTACTAGTGTATAGTGTATAACCCGTGGCTCCCTAGTTATTTTATGATAAAAGGGTAAAGTGTCATTTTTAAAACAGGTGGGTTTAAAAGAAGTGATAGCCTATAGAGGCGGGGGCCCGAAGTCGCCCGAAACTTACCCCAGGTCAGCTGTTTTTAATAATCTTCCTGGCCTGCTAGTGTACTCGCATATAATCTAGTGAACCAGTGAATAGCAGAATACAGTGTTGTAGTAGCAACTAACCAGTATTATAATGGTACTTAGTGGAGTGGAGTGACTTTCATTAGTTTCTTTTTCTTGAAATACGAGACGTTACTGTGAATTTCATAATAACCTGTAGTTTACCAGCGGTCGCAATATACACAACGAGAAACAATTATTACTACAGAAAAAGCGTCCTTCCTCCAAAATTTGCACCAGTCAACTATAGTGATAATATAGCATTATTGTGGTGGAGACGGAAAAAACAAAAATAGAAAAGCCAGATACAGCGATTGATAAACAAGAGGTCGAATGTACGTCATTGTAGGAGCTGCCAGATATCACCGGCTCTTCAACACGCAAGTTATACTTTTGTATCAGTCAAATCACATATTACTCGGGTAGATAATTTCCAGTAGATCCTTCATGTGTTAGCTCAAATCACCGACCAGTATGTTTTAAATAAGTGACCCACTGATCAGAGCAGATCGACTGGTCCGAACCCTTGACTGGTCCGAACCCTTGACTGGTCCGAACCCTTGACTGGTCCGAACCCGGGACTGGTTTCAAACAGTTTCGTTGGACAATAAAGCAGACTGTAAACGGATGGGTTTGTAGGCGCCCTTATAAACACAAACATTAAAAATCAGGAACGTGACGGTAAGCTGTCCAATATACAAAAAGAGTTAGAAACAGAAATACAAATAGCTAGAGCTTCATTTAAGGTTATTAATATAATATTCAAGAGGTTACTAGTAGAATTGCAGTAAATCAACCATTCAAATCATTATGAAGCTGTGTGTAGTCTGTGGTCAGTCAAACAAACGGGCTTCCACATGGATAAATTGTCATTTTTGTGGAAATTGGTGTCACGCTCCTTGTGCAGATATCCCAGAACTAGCTACAAGCAGTATTAAAACAGGGAAGTGTTTTTGGGTATGCCCAAATGAGGAAAATCTGTGGATTAAAATCACAAGGGTATTAAAAGAGGATAACATCAAAGCTGCTTTCATAGAAAACCTGGAAGCTTTCTACAACAGATGGGAACATAAAAAGTCTGGGCTGAATGGTACTGCCCTTGATACTGGCCATGTAGTCACAAACTGTAAGGCTGGAGGTGATGTCCTGGTAGTCAGTAAATGTGGGGCTGATAGTGCTGTCCTGGGAGACAGTAATGGTGAAGCTGGAGGTGCTGTCCTGGGAGACAGAAATGGTGAAGCTGGAGATACTGTCCTGGGAGACAGTAATGGTGAAGCTGGAGATTTTGTCCAGGTAGTCGGGAATTATACGCAGGAAGGAATACATATAAATGACCTCATAGAGGACAGGAGCCATAGTAGGGAAACAAGTGTAGTCAAAGATAAGATAAAACCAATATTGCAAACTAGAAATACCGCAGGAAATAGCAAACAAGAGGACTCCAATAGCAATAGTGAGGATAAATTACCAAAAACAACTGGTGGGAGCTCCATTGTTTGTGCTAGGGAGGATAGGAGTAAGACAGGGAAACATGCACCAACAGGGAATACAGTCACAGAAACCCAAGGCAAACGGAAACCAAGCCTGTGCACATACTATGCACTTGGTATATGCTGGCATGGGAATCTGGAAAAAACAGATGGGACATGCAACTATGACCACCCTAGAAAATGTCATGCCCATATGACAACAGGAAAATGCAAACTCCCTTCCTGTAAGCTTTTTCACCCTGAAATGTGTACCTCTTCAGTACAGGAAAGACTGTGCTATAACTTAAATTGCCAGGCATACCATCTAAAAGGGACAAAAAGATACAAAACATCCAGGCCATGGGAAAACCTGGGTAGCCACAGCCACTCAAGAGGGAGAGGTTTTTTAGTGCCAGGAAGGAAAAAAAACTGGCAGGAAATGGCAGAAATCGTACACCAAATCCAGTCATCCTGGAGTGGAACCACAGTCGATGGCCTCCACTCCAAACCAACAGATACAGATACTAATGCCGGAAAAAAAATCCCCCCCAGTACCAACAATACCACCAGTCCGATAACATTCTTCTTTGCAAATATACAGGGTCTAAAGCCAGCAACAAACAACAAAATACTTTCATCCGTGGACTGCTTGCAGAGGCAAAGGCAATGTTCGCGGCTTTCACTGAGACCCACATAAAGGATCACTTGAACAACGAAATATGGATCCCAGGTTACAACCTATACAGATGTGACAGAGTGAACAGGCAAAAGGGGGGGGGTTGGCCTGTACATTGCAGAGTCACTTGTTTGCACAGAACTGCTTAATGCCTCAAATGACGTAGTGGAAGTTTTAGCAGTAAAGGTCGAGAACCAAAACCTAGTCATTGTGGTAGTCTACAAGCCTCCGGATGCAACATCCCAGCAATTCCAGGAACAGCTGTTAAAAATTGACCACTGTCTGGAAAATCTTCCAGCTCCTGCACCAACATCTTGCTCCTGGGGGATTTCAATTTAAGGCACCTAAAATGGAGGAATATAGCAAATAATATTGTTGCAGTAATAACACCAGGAGGCAGCTCTGATGAAAAACTCACACTCACACGAGCTTTTAAATCTCTGCACAAAATTCAATTTAACCAGCAAATAATAGAGCCTACTAGACTGGAGAATACACTAGACCTCATCTTCACTAACAATGATGATCTGATAAGAAATGTCACCATATCAAAAACAATATACTCAGATCACAACATAATTGAGGTTCAGACATGTATGCGTGGAGCCCCAGACCGACAAAATGAGACTAGTCACGAGGAGCATTCACCAAATTCAACTTCAATAACAAAAACATAAAGTGGGACCAAGTAAACCAAGTCCTAACCGATATAAGCTGGGAAAATATACTAAGCAACACAGACCCAAACTTATGCCTAGAACAGATTAACTCGGTGGCACTCGATGTATGCACAAGGCTTATTCTCTAAAGAAAAGGAGGAGTAGATGTAAAATAGAAAGAGACAGGCGCTCCCTTTACAGGCGACGGAAAAGAATAACAGAGCGGCTAAAAGAGGCCAATATATCTGAAATGCGCAGGGAGACACTGGTCAAGAGAAATAGCAAGCATCGAACTTAAGCTAAAAGAATCCTTTAGAGTCAGGAATCGCGGGAAGAACTAAAAAGCCATAAATGAAATCGAAAGAAACCCAAAGTATTTCTTCTCCTATGCCAAATCAAAATCGAGAACAACGTCCAGTATTGGGCCGCTACTTAAACAAGATGGGTCCTACACAGATGACAACAAGGAAATGAGTGAGCTACTCAAGTCCCAATATGACTCAGTTTTTAGCAAGCCGCTAACCAGACTGAGAGTCGAAGATCAAAATGAATTTTTTATGAGAGAGCACAAAATTTGATTAACACAAGCCTATCTGATGTTATCCTGACGCCAATGACTTCGAACAGGCGATAAATGACATGCCCATGCACTCTGCCCCAGGGCCAGACTCATGGAACTCTGTGTTCATCAAGAACTGCAAGAAGCCCCTATCACGAGCCTTTTCCATCCTATGGAGAGGGAGCATGGACACGGGGTCGTCCCTCAGTTACTAAAAACAACAGACATAGCCCCACTCCACAAAGGGGGTAGTAAAGCAACAGCAAAGAACTACAGACCAATAGCACTAACATCCCATATCATAAAAATTTTTGAAAGGGTCCTAAGAAGCAAGATCACCACCCATCTAGAAACCCATCAGTTACACAACCCAGGGCAACATGGGTTTAGAACAGGTCGCTCCTGTCTGTCTCAACTACTGGATCACTACGACAAGGTCCTAAATGCACTAGAAGACAAAAAGAATGCAGATGTAATATATACAGACTTTGCAAAAGCCTTCGACAAGTGTGACCATGGCGTAATAGCGCACAAAATGCGCGCTAAAGGAATAACAGGAAAAGTCGGTCGATGGATCTATAATTTCCTCACTAACAGAACACAGAGAGTAGTCGTCACAGAGTAAAGTCCGAGGCAGCTACGGTGAAAAGCTCTGTTCCACAAGGCACAGTACTAGCTCCCATCTTGTTCCTCATCCTCATATCCGACATAGACAAGGATGTCAGCCACAGCACCGTGTCTTCCTTTGCAGATGACACCCGAATCTGCATGACAGTGTCTTCCATTGCAGACACTGCAAGGCTCCAGGCGGACATCAACCAAATCTTTTAGTGGGCTGCAGAAAAC